TCTCCCATTCTTGTCTCGTTAAAATTTCCTAAAAAGGAAAGTTTTTCAAATATTTGAGGGGAACGGGAAAGAGTTTTTTTAAAAAATTATTTTAAATTATTGATAATTATTTTATAAATATTATATACAGTATATTGTTTAAGAATTAATATAATTTATTTATTAAAAATTAAACCAAATTTTAAATAATTGAAATAGAATATTATTGAATTAATAATTTAATAGTTATTTATTAATTTTGTATTAACTTATATTTATTATTGTAATAATTATTAAATAATTAATTTAATTTATTGTTATTAATCCTTTATAAATTTGATGTATCTTACAATTTGATATATTACTGTTTAACAATTAATTTTTAAAAAACATTATTATAAAATAATAGTTATATATATTATTAAAAATTTTTTCATTGGTTAGCAATAAAGTGTGAAAAACCTTTTTTACTATTTACTTTTCTTTGATATTTGAAAATTTTTTATTACTTGTATTATTCAACATTAGATCAAAAATCAAACATCAAACGGAATCAAAAAACATCTGTTTTTGAATTGACAAAAGAATTGGTGAAAAATGGGTTTAAAAATAATTTAATTTTGAAAATAAAACTTATTAACTTCTTATGTTATTTATTTATCTCATTAAAAAGTAGATGATTTTTTTGAATATTCAATTTGCTTATGATAATCAACCAACTATCGTCATCTTTATACCAATCATGATTAAATTATTACATATTTTTTCTATGTAAATATGATCATAACTATATTAATTGGCTTGATAAAATAATATGACTACAAGTATTAGTATGATTTTTATTTAGTAAATGGTTATTATATTGGTTTTGTGCTTGTAACTCTTTTAAGTAAATGAAAGTCTGTTCGCAAAAAAAAAGAGAAAAAAAAACCATAAACAATAACAATAATCGTCAAAGGTTTTTAAATTAGTAAACGAAAAGTTGGTCGATTTTTGAGCGTGCGCCATTTCAAAAAAACCATCTGATTTCTCAAAATCAAATAACCCGAATAATTCCGATTGCCAAATTTACATTTTAGGTAAAACAGTTGTCACTTGACAATTATTGTTCCTTATACAAATGATAGTAATTTACTTTCCTGTTCATTTGCTATTTGTTTACGTTCTTTGGTCACATTTTGTGTACGCCTCGCATAAAACTACATTACGTGCATAAATCATACACCCATCCATTACACACACACACATCTTTTTTTTTTTCTAAAAATACGCATCTCGTTTTTATATTGCCTCAGTCTTAAATCCCCATTGCAACAAACCTTTAATTCCATCGGCGTGATATGAATACACAAGGAATAATAAATATTTTAACTTTGCGTTTTTTTTTATTGGGAGGCTTTTTCCAATGACATAAAATGATTAGATAACGTTTATTTAGGGTAAATAAAATATGATGCCTTGGCACAATCCATCAATCAACAAATACCGTGCCGGATGTATAAATGGATTAAAGTTATTAATTTACCGAGTTGACGGAAAGCGTCATGCTCAAGCAACACATAACATCAAATTTCAATGTTTTCTTCTATTACCACATTCATTCCTTCATGAAAGGTAGCTGCATTTCTTGAGAACGTGTAAACGAGAGGAAGAAAAGCTCAAGTTTTTGAAGTGCGCGTGCTCATATGTGTACTTTAGATCTCATTATTTTATCCAAGAATCAGATTTTACGGATATTCAATGAGTACACAATTAGGTTGCACTTACATTGTGATTTCTTCATCTGATTTATTTGATTTTCTTTATTGGGGAAAAAGTCCAAATATCGACAATGAATGAACATCTAAAATACAGTAAATTGATTATCTTGGGATCATGTAATTTATTCTGGTTGTGCAAGGGTCAAGATTCCTCGGAGCATAAGTCCACCAAAAAATTATTAGATCCGAGTGAAAAGTTGTGCGCTTAAACAAAGTGGGAGGGTAAGAAAAAAGCTAGATCTTGATTAAACCTGATCTGATCCTGAATCTTCAAATGAATGCTTGCGATTCTCTACAATTCTGAAACTGATTTTCCTTTTAATTTCCTTACATAATCACGAACCTTTGAGATTGTATTCTTGGTTTGGTTTTATTGTCTTCTCATTTTATTATTTATCTTAAAGAGAAGAGGAAATGTATGCGCTGTACGTAAGTAATGAGATTTCAAAGGAGATGATGCACATTTGCATGATGTTATGTCATTGACATGAGTTAAGAGCATGCCTTTGTTTACGGATCGGTGCAGATTCGGATCGTAAGAGAACTGGTCTTACTTAATCACCTCCAAGGTCCGTAGTTTTCTTCTTGTTATCAAAGATTTCTGTTCGCTCTCTCTAGAAACATACGAATGGGATGGAGTTCCTTTCGACATGATCAATATCTTCTTGTATACGGGCACGATTAAAGTTCTCCGATAGCAAACAAATATTTTAAAAAAATATTTACTGTTCACGTGCAACTTTCTATACAGTTAAAAGCCTCTAGACAAAAATGGGATGACCCACATAGATCCTTCCTGATTTCAGCAGGCATCATTGAATACTCATCGCCGTTGTATATTTTATCCCCTGGTAGAAAATTAAACGATCACGTTTCCGTAAAGATTACTATGTTGTGTGTATGCTACCATTAGATTGTCACCACAGGATATATTGTAAATACCGCGAACTACTAGAATTTTCCACCGCATATAGCGCTTGAAAAAGATTTCTTACGAACGCCTATGCCATACGAGAGGTAGTGTTTGGCGACGATGTACCGCATGCATACATTGGCGCCCGGGAATGTATGATAAAGCTAATTTTTGTTAAGGAAATTTATCGGATAATGCATGAATGAAAGTAATGAACGAAGTCATTAATTGCAATGACAAGCACTAGACCACAAATAATTCTCGTTCATGTTATTACGGATAAGCATGCAGTTCTCCGTTTTTACAATCAATGAGTCGTCCGCAAGTTTATGTACAAGACAATGGAGTTTGGAATTTGGAAGGAATTCAATCAAAGTCTTGTAGCTTTTCACTACTTCTTTTTGCCTTACTTTATGGGGTGGGTGAATTTTTTTTGATATCACGAATTTCCATTTGGGTGTAAAGTCTTGAGAAGTTATGTGTTACCCACACCCACGTAATTGCGTATGTGGTGCGACTCGAGGCCGGACTTCTAGTTCCAATAAAGACCCTATTATATAATGAGATTTACCGTATATGCAGGGTACGTGAACATTATGAAAAAATTGAATCTATCACGTTCGTATGGTGTTCAAACCCCACATAGTGTGCTACCTTGTAAAAAAAGAAAAACCTGCCGGTGGAAATTCGGCGTTCTCGTCTTTCCCCTGCTTTCACATTCATATAAAGTCATATTTGGAGAGACCATGCATTTTTTTTGAAGGTAATATTACTTTGAAGAAAGCTGTAAATGTAGGGAAAACGTGTCGGAACGAGGGTGGTTTGCAACGCATACCACATTCAGAATATATCCAAGAAAGGTCATTGTATTGTTATGGAGAAATCGAATTATTCATGTATCAAACGTTGCAAGGTTATTTGGCGCCATATACAGGAAAATTTCTCGCACACAGCACAGAGTCCGATTAGATGTTTCATGGAGAACACGATTCAAATTGATGCAAAAAAAGGAATGCGCATTTGATTATGCACATTATAGTCACATGATATCATGTCAAATCAAATATGCGAAATGATTATCCACAGAAATCCGATTCTTTCTTGCCAGAAAAGAAATTTCCATTACCTAATATGTGAAGGATGATGATTTCACGGTGCAAGATTGGATAATTCAAATGAATGATAGAATAAGGGAGCAACCGAATCTTCGTTAGCTCTCCCGTTAATTCACGATATCCTCGATTACCGTGTTGTGACAGCTTCCTTATGCCTAGGTATGAATTCATCCGAGATTCATTTGATGCTCACTTTCTTTGACAATGGGTTGAGCGCACGAGGGTGCGAGCTAATTTAACGCACTTTTAAGAACACTAATCAGGAGATCAAAATGGTACTTTCACCCACCCAGACGCAACACATACGTTATGCACACACAACAAAGCACGAATAAACAACACAACTCAAATAAAGATGTGGATTTGTTAATTGTTTTCATGTAATGCGCACGTTAACTCGTTGCAGTATAAAGAAAACATGAGGTCAAAGAGTGCGGTGTGGTTAGATGCGAGTTCCAAAGGTGTGAATGTCGAAGGATGAACATTTTGCCGGTATGGAAAACTAACTTTGGGGGTGGTAAATCAATTCTGGCTCATGTGTGTGTATGAGTTGAGCGGATGGGTGAACAAAGAATCGAGCGGTTTCATCAACAATGTATAAGACGCAATGAACCGTGAAGGTTGATCTGTGCACTTGAAAAGAATACTGATTTCTCCAAGAAAGTCATCATTCTTCACTCTTTTAAAAACAATGTTATTATGAGACAAGAGGGGAGATGATATATTATCATCTAAATTTGTATTAGCATATACGATAAAGTTGTGATAAGGTTATGATTTCATTGTGATTGAGTGTTTAATATTGTAAAAAATTTTTGATGGTTATTGAGTGTTTAATATTGTAAAAAATTTTTGATGGTTCGCCGATAAAAGTTACCACCACAAGTTGACGGGGTTAAAGGATAAGAGAAATTGTAGAGGATGACCAAATTAAGAAAGCGCATTTCAATTTCGAAACCGGCACGACCTCTTGCTTCTCTCCTCATATCCATTCAAAGAACAAAAGGTACAGATTTGTTATTGAGTCGTACATTTCAAGGTGGTGTTTCCATTAGCAATAATACCCTTATAGAAGTTGAGTGTAAATTATTGTTTGTTTGCTGTGACACGAGACAAGGTACTGTTACCTTGTTCTTTTATATACCTTGACGTGACCTCGCTTTTATTGAACTTCTTCATTGGTGCTTGCGTACAGAAATATTCATGTAGGTTAAACTCACAATCTACTGTAAATAATTTCACATTTGCATATCATTCTATTATACGTAACCACACAAGGGATAAAATTTGGAATTAACAAGTTAGTCTTGTACTTCCGTCCTGCTGGTCTTCACACACAGTTCATCTTTTTAGACCACAAAACAAGTCATTCTTCTTTATACCCATATAAAAAAACAATATCCTCAGCCTCCATTATTAACAATATAAATAATTTTTTATATTAATATGTTAATCATCATACAATCGTTTTTTTTTTCCACATTTTCTCACTTTCTTGGCTCGGTCTTATCATTCTATTTTTTTCGAGTGGTTGCTGTATGCGTCTCATCCCCGGTTTCGAACAAATTAAAGCATAAATACGTAGCCATCTCATCGTTTATTAATCTTCCCCCAGCGAGTTTTTAAGTGTACGTTCCATCGTCTTCCATTCTACAGCGACGGACTTTTACTTACACTCCCTTGCAGAAAGAAACTAGTCATACATCATAAAGTAGCATAATAGAGCTTGAATCCACATTTTCATTGCTAAAAAAAAAATTGTTCGGAAAAAATGAAATCATTTAAAAAAACTTCACGTACTCAGGTTCCTGAGGACGATGGCAAAAAAAGTTTTATAGACAGGGTGAAAAGTATGCGCAAGAAAAAAGATAGAGAATCCGTTGACGAAAGAAGTATTGTTGGGAATAAGGAAGAAATCGTAAGCGAGAAGGCTGATAGTGACTACGCAAAAAGTCTTGATAGTGATAAAAAGCGTCTTAGTATGATTAGCATAAATAATCGTTACAGCGTTGTGAATGATATTGAATCCATGGTTCAGGAATTGGAGAAGGCTGACAAGGAGAAAGAAGAATTGGAACGTCGTAATCGCGATTTACTCAATGAACTCGAATCAAGCAAACAGGTCGTCGAAAAACTCCAGAATGTTTCCATAAATCCTCCACGTGACCAGGAGTCTCGTGATAAACCAGAGAATGTGAGTGAAGAGTCTGAGAATGTGCGAGAGGTGTCTCGTGATATACCAGAGAACGTGCAAGAAGTTAACACACAAGAAATCGAGCAACTAAAGATGGATTTACAACAGAAAGACAATGCCATTCAAGAATTGAATTCCCAATTGGCAACCACCAAAGAAGAGGTTGAGAAGGTCAAGAAAGAAGTATCGGAGAGAATTGCCTCTCAAGTTGAACTTGAAGCAAGTCAAGAGGAACTCAACCGGCTAAAGGTTGAACTACAAGAACGAAAGGATGCGGTCGAAAAGCTCTCCTCTGAGCTTGAAGCCAGTAAGCTGGAAGTTGAGAAGGTGAAGAAGGAAACACTCGAACAAAGTCAACGATCTGCAAACACCGAGATCGAGCAGACCCGGGTCGCTTTGGAGGTCAACAAACACGAGATCAACAATCTAAAAACTACACTTGAGCAACGTGATTCCGAATTGACGGCAGCAAAGAAGGAACTGGAAAAGGTTAAAAAAGAAGCTACCGAACAACGAAAAAATAGGTCAAGCGCCGTTCAGAACGAAATCTCGAAGATCCAACTTGCTTTGAATGCAAGCAAAGAAGAAGAAAACAAGTTGAGAGCGGAAGCTGAAAAAAGAAAAGAAGAAGCCGACAAATTGAAGGATGAAATTGAAAAAAGAAAAGAAGAAGCCGACAAGTTGAAGGCTGAAATTGAAAAAAGAAAAGAAGAAGCCGACAAGTTGAAGGCTGAAATTGAAAAGGGTCAAGTTGCTCTCCGAGAAACCACTGAAAAGAATGTAAAATTGAACGCTGCCGTTGAAGAGAATGCTCATACAAAAGCCGAGTTCGAAAAAGTCCAACTTTCACTTCAATCAAAAATAAAAGATTTCGAAATTCTGGAAAGTTCTCTCAAGTCAACCACCGAAGAGAAGAATAAGATTATTGAAGAGTTGAGGGCTGAACTTGCGAAAAGGAAAAAAGAAGCTGAGCTCGCCAACATGTCCCTTTCCGAAAGACATCATCTTGACCAATCTATGGAGAAGGAATTACAGAAGAACAGAGCCGAAATTCAACAACTTAATGCTGCACTTCAAAATGCCAATGCTAATATTAACGATCAACGAAACTTAGCCATTAACGACCTGAACAATATCAAATTTGAGCTTGACCAAAAAATTTCTATTATACAAGAACTCGAAGGTCAACTTTTGATCCGTGATCAGTCAATACAACAACATGCCGGAGTGAACGATTCACTTAATAGGGCACTTAATGGCGCTCTCTCGGAACTTGAATATACGAAAGCTGAGATTTCATCAGTAAAATCTGAACTCGAATCGAGGAAATCCGAACTTGAGTCTACAAAGATGGAACTATCTTCGGCAAAATCTGCGCTCGGAAATTCTGATCCCTCGTTGGTTGAAGATCTCAGAAATCAACTGACGAACGTGAAAGCACAATTAAAAGCAATTGAATGGGATAAAGGTCGATCAATATCCGAGTTAAAATGTCAAATTGAAAATAAAGGTTTGTATATTAATCGATGTTAAACACGAAGCTAAAGTGTAATGCATAACCTAAATACATTTTACTTATGTAGACCAAGACGCTAACATATTACGAGAAGAACTTGAGAAGATGAGAACAAAAGGTTTCTATTTTCTCAAATTACAAGCGATGTTATGTGAGCACGTGACTCAAATAAATTAATTTTTATAGAACAAGATGCAACCAGACTGCGAGAAGAACTTGAGAAGATGAAGACAAAAGGTTTCTATTTTCTCAAATTACAAGCGATTTTATGTGAGCAAGTGACTCAAATCAATTCATTTATTTAGACCAAGATGCAATCAGATTGAGAGAAGAACTTGAGAAGATGCGAACAAAAGGTTTCTATCTATCTTATTTTCGTGTTCAACCAAAATCAAAAGGTTCTTGAATATGTTTTCATATGAACTAATTCAACCCATTTTTTTAATCTATAGTTCATACTGTTGAGAAATTGAACGAGGGACTAAATACCCAATTATTGGAAGCACGGAAATCTCGCGATAAAGTCGAATCCAATACTCAGCAGACCAATGGTCAGCGGTCAGCTAAATCAAAACAATCAAAAACCAATGCAACGTCCACCGATTCCGCGCTGACGAAAGATGTCAAGAAAACGTCCGAAAAACAACCGGTAGTAGAGGAACCTTCCTCGAAACGTGATAGTGTTGTCGAACCGACACAGACCAGAGGTGTAGAAACCACACCTCAGGCTAATGTCCCGACATCTGAAGTTTACACGAACGGCATAACGTCACAGCAAGACCAAGATGAAGGCTGGACTAAAGTTCAAAAACGAAAGGCAAAAATAAGGAGCAGTATGGTAATAGCATAAATATTGATTATTCAAGGTGATTTGAAGTTTATTGTTCATCTCATCAAACCTTTCTAAACGTCTTTGTTTTCATAACAAACCTTAACCTTCCCCGATCTCTCAACACAAATAGGGCTCCTCAAATAAAAAATCCGTGAGCGTGGTTTCCGGACGAAGCTTGTTGTTAATTAAGACCATGTGTTTCACCCTGTTGTTCATTTCTATTTATTATTTATTCGATATGTTTGATGGATTTACTAGATTTGGCACTTTGTTAGATTATTACAAAACTTATTATATTTTCTAAAACTGCATTATCCAAGATAATTAATGAAAAAGAAATACATAGAAACCCTAATTGTATAGTGTAAATATTTTATATACGCTTTTTCTTATTCTCTTGCACAGGCAGAAAAAAAAAAAAACATTTCTTTTTCCTTTCATTATTCGCACTACGTAATTGACAACTTTTTATCTTATTAAATCTTTTAAACTTGAATTTATTATTACTATTATTATTTTGTTACAAAAAAAGAAAAAAATACATATATGCATATCTTTATTCGGGCAAGCTTCGAGAATTAGTGTAATATCTTTCAATTTAATCATTCTGTATTTTAAAATACATCAATAGTATATTAAATTTCTTCTATATTTTCAATTTGACGATCGATAATGACAATGACATAATGTAGTTTTTCCGTCAGACGTTATTACTAATGCGTCGTTATTTCACGTATGAAACTTTATTTTTTCCTTAATATTCAATCGAATAATATATACTATACTGTATATGAACATATTAACATACAATATTTTAATTTAATCTCAAAAAAAAAATGATATATTATTATTATTTTATGTTTATTAAGTGATATTGAATTACCAAAAAATGTTTTTCTTGGTGAATGTAATCTTTAATTCGAAAAATACCTCATTCGATGGACATATGACATCGTTTAAAAAAATCCATTTCAAATCATTTTTAATACCGAATATCGTAAAAGAAAAATTATGTAACAACCCATTTGATTTTTGATGATTTCTTTTTTTAAAATAAATAAAAATCAATTATAAATAACAAATAGGAATAATGATTTGATAGTATAGGCAATATCAATTGTATTAATTTAATTATTATTATTATTTTATATAATAATCATTAATAAAAATGAAATCAAGTGATGCATGTATTATCAAATTATTTATTTATTTAAAAATTATATTTAAATAATTAAAATAATCATATGTGTTGTTTATAATCATCACCTTAAAATTTTTTAAAAAAAAACAAAATTAAATCAAAAAATCCTTCTATATACCGGAATTTTATCTTATTTTTTTTAAATATACAATCCATGTGTATTTCTTATATGCGCACACCCATACGTATTATTCTTTTGAAATAAATTGAATAATGAAATCAATACGAAATATAATTATAATAAGTTCTTTAAATAATTGTTGAAGAATTAGATATGATTGATGATTTTTACGTTATTAAAATATTGGTCATTTAAAATGTGGGTAATATATGATTTTTTAATGGATCTCATTTGATTTATGATAAATCAATAACCAAATGAAAATAAATCTTAATATTGCTACCAACATACAGTATAATATTTTAAGAAGTAAATATATGTCAGAGTCAATTAAATTTTTATTGCTTTTATTTGAATTTTAAATACAATAATTTGTTTTTTTTACAATTTTAGACGTAGGGATTTTTTATTGATTCTATACTGGGGTAACCTAGCAGGAAGAATACGTGTTGCGGATTAACTCAAATTTTAAACTGGTGATATTTATATTATAAGTGTGAATTAGTTGGCGTATGCAATGTCTATGTACAGTAAGTGTTTTTTTTTATTTGGAAGGAGCAGTCATTTTCGTGGATAGATATTTTGGTTCTTTAAAATTTTTCAAGTGCAAACTACTCAACACCACGCTAACGCTACTAGCCATCATCGCCAGACTAGCCAATTCAGGCCTCAACCCGAATTTAAGTAAAGGAAAGAATACACCAGCCGCTATTGGTATAGCCAAGGTGTTATAAATATAAGCCCACATAAAATTTAA